CGCCCAGGCCTCTACCCACTCTGTAATATCACTGCAACTCAGGCCAGCCCTAAAAGCAAAACAGAGAGATTGGAGAGACTTGTGAGGAAATGTTCACATAGAAAAGGAAGAACAAGTGCCAGGCACATGCACTGCAGTCTTTATCTGACTGTATTCTGTTGACTGCATTTTTACCAAGTCTCTTAAACAGAAGATTGATGTACATTTTAATGTAAAAAGTGGTAGAATATAGCAATCTCTCTTCTGGGTATGTACCCAAAAGAACTGAAAGCAGGATCTTGAAGAGATATTTGAGTATCCGTGTTCATAAACACGTACTGTAGTATTCCATATATGAGCGGTCTAAAGTAGGCAAATTCATAGACCTGGTAGAATGGTGGTTTTCAGAGTCTTGGGCAGGGGGAAATGGGCAGTTGATGTTTAATGGGGATGGAATTTCAGTTTTACATGGTGAAAAGTCTCTAGATATCTACTGCACAACAATGTGAATATTAACACTCCTGCAATGTACACTTAAAAATAGTAAAGATGGTATATTTCATATTATATGTTTTTTAACTACAATAAAAAAAATGAAAAAGTAGCGGCCTGTATATGTGTATATATTCTAAATATACTTTATATATATTTGTATTACATGTCGTATATATATATATATTCTTAAAAGAGCCAATGGTTTAAAAAGTTCAAAACTATACAATGATTATAAAAGTTGACACCTAGTCAATGGAGCCCTTAAGTGTTTGGGGACTTGACCTCTTGGCCCAAACCTGATCCTCGGCCATAATAATGTGCTACTGTTCCTGTTCTAGCTTGTGAATCATCACCTGCTGCTGCAGAGTCAAGAGGCTATGAAATATTTGTATTTCATGCAGATATCCTCTTTCATGGGAAATGAGAAATGTTCCTCCTCCCCCTCTAAAGATGGAAATGCCCCAAGAAAATAAAGTTCATTTCATGAAGAGCTGTGTTGCTGATGATCAACTTGCCTCATCTTAGTCTGCAGCTCCAATTTCCCTGTTTTCAAGTGATTTCCTTGAAGAAGGCAGAGAATGCCTTTCTGACCTAGGGCTCTGGGAAAGTAAACAAGTGGCTGTACTAGAAGAACCGCAGAGTATGCTTTCAGAGTGGTCCTCCGCTCAGCACTTTTGATCTAACGAGCCAGTAAAGAATTCTGATTCCCTTTTCCTTCTTAACCACAATTATTAAGACCATTTCTATGGTGAAATGTCCTTCAAGTGAAAGTACCTTCTAGGGATGTTACCCAGTTTTTTTAAGCATATTAAGAGATGACCCCCAATTTCCTGAGTAATAACAAATGGCCATCTTCTGCACGAACTACAAATATTCTGTTTCTAAACATTTGAGTCTACATGTGATCTGCCTGCAAAGAGATTTCTTGTTTTCCTGCATGGTTTCTGACTTGCTTTATCCTCATCCATCACAACCAGTAGCTGGAACTCCTATGCGTGGTGTTTCTTCCACTCCCTTCCCCCAACCAGGCATTTAGTTGACCAATTACAGAATCACAAGGTTGGTTATTATTCCATTTCTACATCTGACTTCGAACTTAAGTGTTCCAATTACTTTGCCTGGTCCTAATAAGTCAGCAGTGTGCTAAAGCTTGCCTTGATATTTCTGAAATATACAGAGTGTGATTAGCATGGGACTGAATCATTAGAAAGCAGAGTTGAAAGCAGATGAGCAAAATCATTGCTTGCATTTAAGCAAAACTGCCTTTTCGGAGAACTTACAAGGTTACAGTGATCCTAGGAATACTATATGTTGTGATTATATGTATATTGTGTTTGGAAAATTCTCCAATGCTTCAGAACCTTCTGTCTTTGGCTACTAATAGAACAAAAAAGATCTTAGAAGGATAGGCCCATTCTGATACACAAACTCCCAAAGTCTGTTTGAGCCAGATAGAGGTGAATAAAGAATCCTTGAACCCTAACAGTGTAGGGGTGGGGGGGTGGGGGCGGAGGAAGGAAGGAAGGAAAGAAAAAGCAAGGGAAACCTTTAGTCAATTCTGCTGGATTGGACTGGCATCTCTGGGCCATAAAGCGGGAAAGCTTTTCCATAGCCTGCTGAAAGAAAGAAAGAAAAAATACCCATGCACACATGCATATCAAATGAGATACTAACAACTAAATTGGCATCATATGTTATTTGTGTCTATTAAAAAAATTTAACCCTTTATATTGGTGTGAACTTTTGGGAACTAGTAGGGAAAAAGAAAAAGGAAACACTTTAAACTGGGAATGATCTGCAGTCAAATCAATTGATAAGTGAAAGGAAAAAAGATGGCACAACTGAAATGGATGCCAAAGATTTATAAGGTTGACTAAGTAAACAAAAATGGAATGGATCACCATGGAAATGCATGAATATTGAAACAGGCAAGATTTGAATAGACTAATGATATGCCTTACTTAGACTGACAGGTGTTGATAACAACTGTGACACTCAATACACACCAGCATCCACACTTCTAATATGTTTATTCCTAGAAAACAGAATCTGAATTTAAAGGTTTCTTTGGTAAGAGTTTATAAGCCAAATACATTTTCTAATCTTAAAGGGACTAACTCAATTCTCATCTACTTGGAAAGCAAAAAAAAGGTTTTATCCGTTTGCTTTCTGAATATGAGAAGCTGCAGTTAACAGAAGTCATTCTCTTGGGCTCTACTAGTCTTTGTTCCAATAAACCTTTCACAAAACTGAATTCTCAGTCTTGCTTATCTCTCACACTGAATACATGAGGTTGGACCACCACTCATTAGAAACATAATTAAAAAGACACAACACCAGTTTCCTAAACCCCCCATCACATGCAGATAACAAGCAATAATCCTTAATCTATTTGTTACCATAGCTACCATAGGATATTTTATTTCACTACAACTCTAGGTATTTCATTTGGATTGTTGCTTGCAAATGAAAGTTGGAGACCTATAAATTTCCGTTAGCTGTGCTAGAAATGGAGAGAATGAACAGAAGAAAATGTTTTCCTTAATCATAGACAAATGTGGTTTATAAGGTGCTTATGCAGAAAAGTTATTAAAATTGGTTAAATGCATCAGCTCACAAATCAACTTTAATGCCATTAAATCCATATAGAGTTTAAGGGCACATATGCTAGTAATTCCTTGATTTCTTGCAGGATGATAAATCCAGTGTACTGATAATAATGTGTGGGACAGAGACAATATTCATCAGTGGCACACAGCTCTGTACCCGTATAAACACCTAGAATATGTGACAACTCAAATACATGCATACCAACCAGGCTTTAAAGCATTCACCTTCTCCTTAGGTGCCAATGTTTTCAGACTGAACAATCTATAAAATTGTTCATTACTTTACCCCCGAATGAGTGAAAAAGTTAGCTCTAAGCACCCCTAATATAATCTGCAAAAACATCAGGAATGAGGGGGGCTAAATAAACCTGCTGTCATTCGTACTAACTCGAAATAATTCCTTAAATCTGCCCTCCCAGGGTTCAGTTAGAGATAAGACCGCACGGCAAGGGAAGGAACTCTGTAGTGACTAGACGGACGACTTTAAAGAGGCTGAAATTAGGGTAAATACAGCTGTAACCACGATAGATCTGTCACTGCAAGAGGAGTCCGAATCCAAGCGTAGCTGGGCTGGTGAGAGCCTGAAGCCTGCCGCAGCGCAGCCTGGCTGTCCCTGAGCTGACGAAGTGGAAGTTCGCGGGCAGCGGCAGCGAGGCGTCCTCAACGGTGCCGTCCCTCCAGAGCCCCGGTCTTGCCTAATGCTTCATAAATACCTGCGTCCACGATCCGCCCGGGGCGTGCCGCGGCGCAAGCACCGTAGACAGGGAGGAGAGCGTTGCAGCGCGGCAGGGGTGGCAAAGGCGGCGGCTCCTCACCCAGCAGCATGCCAGGGGCCCGCGGAGGGACCCGCGTCCGCCATTCGGTTCCAGGGCCAGGAACTACCCAGGGACCCGAGACTCGCGCTCTGCCCCCGTGCCCACCACCGCGACGGGTGGCCGCAGGCACGCAGGCAGCGCGTCCCCGCCTGCCCCAGCCAGCGCACACCCGACCTGCTCCCGGAGCCGCCTCGGACCTACGCCGGCGGTCGACTCCGCGGTGCGGGCGCCGGCGCTCGCACCCGCCGAGAAGCCTCGCGCTCTCGGCAGCTCCAGGCCACCGAGCCCCGGACGTGAGCCCCCGCCACCCTGCCACCCCCGCGGGGGTCGGGGCGCGCGTCCACACTCCGCACCGCGGAGTCCACACTATCCCACACATAAACAGCCCCTCCCCACCCGACACCACGTTTTCGTCCCTTCACTGTCCGCGTACGCTCTCCTCTCCGCGCCCCCAAACACGCTGCTACCACAGGGTGTTAAGGGAAGGGGGGTCACAACAAGGTCTGTGCGGGTTCCCTCCTCACGGTTCTCATCTACCTCGAAAGTTACTTGGGATTGGGTGAAGAGACCCGGGCCCCAAATGAGGGGTCTGAGGACGCGAGGGGGCAGAAACCCCAAACTAGCTTCTCGCCGCACAGACGCTCGCACCTCCCCAAAGGGCAGGGCGCGCGGCCGCCCCGTGTTCCAGCTCGCCCTGCCTCCTCCTGGCCCCCAGCCCGGCCCGGGCCCTGGGCCGCTCCGGGGAGGTGGCCTGGAGAGGGACGCGCGCCGCCGGGCCCCGCCAGGGGCTGCCCTGGCCGGGGGTCACACTCGCTTCCGGCCGTCGCGACCACCGCGACATTGGTCCCAGGCAGCCCCGGTGCCTGCACACCCGGGGGCAGGAAGTTTTTACCCCCGTTTCCCCCCCTGGAGCAGCGCAGGCGCAAGGGCTTCTGCAGTCTTGCGAGTCCAGACGCGGGAGGCTCCTGCCGCCGCCGCCACGGGAGCCGAGCCCAGCGTTCCGGGCTCTCGGGCGCCGCTCCCGAGCCCAGCCGGGCCCCACGCAGCCGCCAGGACCCTGGGTCCCCAGTCCGCATCCTTGGCGCCCCAGCCTGGCTCTTACCTCCGGCCGTGCGGCTCCGGCCCTGGCCCGGCGCGCAGAGAGCTGGGGTTCGCGGGTGGGCGCGGGAGGGCTGATGGACAGCGGACGGCGACGGCGGGCAGCGGTGGCGGGGGCCGCTAGGGTCCTGGCCCGGAGAAACGGATCCAGGTCCACCTCCGCACGTTCCTGCTCTCCGCCTTCTCCTTCTCCTTCCCCGCCTCCGCCGCCGCCTCCCGGCAGCCCAGGGAGGATGCCCGGGAGAGGGAAGTCAGTCCTTCTGCCTGTCAGCCTGTGCGGCTACGCGCGGCGCGGCGCGGCGCGGCGCGGCTCTCACCGAGGCGGCGGCGGCGGCGGCGGCGGCGGCTCCGGCAGCATCGCCCCCGCCCTCTCCCGCAGCCGCGGCGGCCGCGGGGCTGGGGCTGCGCTCAGGCGCGGCGGCCACCGGGGCTGCGCGCGGGCGCTGAGGAGCCGGGGCCGGGGCTGGAGCTGCAGCTGGGTCCGCGGCGGCGGGGACGGCGGCGGCGGCGCGGCCGCGGCGCGGGGACCATGCTCCCTTCTGGCTCGCTCCGCTCCGGGTACCGTCTTCTTTAGCTGGGAGGGAGGCGGGCCTCGGCGCGCAGCCAGGGGCGGGCGGAGCCAATCACGGGCGCCCGAGTGGGCGGGGGTGGAGGGCGCGGGAGGCGGGGCGCCCCCGGCCGGGCACCCTGCGCTGCTCCCTGGCCCGAGGGATCCCCGGCAGCGGCGCGCCGGCCGGGGTGGAGAGCTAGCAGGCGTGTCCATCGGTCCGTCTGCGCCTCCGCCCCCCTGCGATGGCTCCCGGCTCGCCTAGCTTGGCAGCCGCGCCCGGTACAGACACGGCGCGTGGCCCGACCGCTCGGCCCCGGCCTCCCGGCCCCGCCGGAGGGGTTGGGGACCGGACCGAGGCGGGCACCCCGTCTGCTTGAGACACCTGAGGAAACTGGCAGAAAAGTTTGAGAAAGAGAGGTCCAATCGTCTTTCAGCTTCCGCCCTCTCTCTAGGACAGTCCAGCCACGGGAAGGAGCCGGGATTGTCCACATCTCTAGAGAACCACGGCTAGCCCTGCAAATCCAGACCGCCAATCATCTCTAGTGGGTCCAGACTCGATACTCAGTGTACACGGACTTTGCCGTTTACACTGATCCACTTGAATTCACACAGTCTCCCTCTGTTTGGACAACCCTTACTTGGGTCTCCACTAGCCTTCCCGGTCCACACTGATACCACGCGCCCTCCGTCTCTCTCATACTGTCTGCACTGATTCTCTGAGTCCCATCACTTCTCTGTGTACACAAGCAATCTACCTAGACCCTAACTTCAATCCTAACTGGCGAGGTTTGGCTGGAGGCCCGAGGCAGCCCCCCAGTGAGAGCTTTTCCATGATGCCAGAACCTCACAGTTCAGGACCAGCCTTCCCTTCTTTGGTAACCCTCTGGATCTGGTTTTTATTCCCTGGCCTCTCCCTCCTGCCCTTCCACCCCCTCGTCTGGTTTTGAATTTCCAAAGAAATATACCCTTTCCTCCCATCCCCCACGCCAGACTGAACTTAAAGGCTTTCAGGCTTCAATACCCCCCTTGCCCTTCTGCACTCTGCCCAGCAGTGGCGCTGAGGCCTGAGGCCTGGGGAGGAAATTGGGGAGGGGGTGCGGTAAGGTAGGGCGCGACTTGCTCTTTGCCCTCAAGTGGGAGGAACCGTCCTGGGGCGCGTTCTGCCAGGCCCCGCCCGTCTGCTGGGGCCGCCATGGACTTGGACAGTCGATCCCTTCCTCAGCTCACTCCTGTGATGTCTGAATCCAGGCCTCCGCTCTCCTTGGCTGTAAACGCACTGCCGGGATTGTGCCTTCTTTAATATCTTGTAGGAAGCAGACAGAGTACAGTGTGGCGGCTGATAAATAATAAATAATAATAATCTGAGGGTAGCAGGAGGACTGTCAGTGAAAGGGAATGAGGACACCAGGGAAATGGCCCACTGGTGTTAGAGTAACTGCATTTCCTGAAAAACGAAAAAACTGAATGAAATTTTATGTGTGTAAGCCTTGGGGCAGGGGAGGGGACAGAGCAAAGCCCTGCAGGGAGGAATACAATCTTGATGATGGGATTAGCCAGAAAAGTGGTGTGTCCTTAAAACAGGGTGACAGGGTCTGGAGGAGGGGTGTGTGTCGGGGGGTGGTGTGGGGAGGGATGGGGGTGTGTGTATGAGAGCTCCTGGAGGGAACTCAAACAACACCTGAAGGGGAATGATGGATGGGGTTTGAAAGCTAAGTTCTTAGAATGGTGTGTGAAAAGAAATTGAAGTGTAATGTAGTTGGGAAAATCGAGAAAGAGATGTTCCTTAGGATTTAAAAGATACACAAGTAACATCTCACGCAACTCAAGGCAAAGAAAGGAAGAACAAAGGCACAGGGGGAGGCAGGGTCATTCATGTTGTAGAAAGCTGTCTCCTGAAATGATCTGCATAGATCCATCAATAGCATGAGGGAATCCACCTGGCTACATTGGGAGCAGCTGCAAGCATTATGGAAATGTGACTAAGGTTTGCAGGGACTGCGCTAGGTTACGATTCGGCAACTTGAGGTACTCATATTGTCCTGCAGATACTTTTGAATGTTCTTCAAATGAAAGAAGGAAATATGTGCTCCAGGAATCCTTCCTCAACTACATCTCAAGGCAGGTGTGAGGATTCTCCCAGTTTCCCTGCTGGCATTGTCAGAGAAGAGGAGCTGTGCCAGATCCACCGCCACACAGAGGAGGACCTCCTTGGGCCTCAGTGATGTCACGGGTGCCAGCTCTGGAGCACTGCGACACCTCCAAGGTTGGAGCTGGGTAGCAGCTCACCAGGGGTGCCAGCGTCAGGAGAATGGGAAAAGCTGCGTGAATTAGAATCGCCATGAGCTTGTCTCCCCTCTCCTCGCCTCCCCCTTCTTTCATCCCCAGAGCCTGAATGCAAATAAGGATTTCCAGAGTCTGAAGCCAAGATCTGCCTCTGCAGTGGGGCTCCACCTAGCTGGGAGCTGCTGGGTTTGGATACAGCTGCTTATGAAGGGTGTGCTCTGATCTAGACACAAACTCCTTTTCATCTGCAGCACTATTGTTTGTGTCAGCTGCTCCACTTCCCCCAGGTCTTGGCGACATATACTGGATTTGCTTTGTTTTGTGTAAGGGATCTTCTCTCTTTCTGCATAGACTTTGCTGGTGTCTGGGATCTGTTCTGGGTTCTTCACTGCCCTGCTCTGTGGTATATGGCATATGCTCTGTGGCTGGCATGGGTCTCTCTTCCTGGTCAGTGGAACTTGTGGGGTGCTGCACAAGGGAACTTCTTTGGCCCTGGTCAGGGATTTCTCCATTAGGCACAGGATCAGGGATCAGCAGTCTCTGTCATGAAGAGGTGCCCTGAGCTGGGCTCTGGGATCAGGACTAATGTGTACGCTCCAAGCAGATGGTTTGTAAAGGTGTCGATTTGCTATGCACAGAGACGTAGACTGGAATGCTCCATGACAATCATTCCCTGCTCAGAGCATAGACCATTATTTGTGCAATCAGCTAGATGAGGGTTTTGTGCTGGGAAGGTTACTACTCTCACTTAGAAAGGCACCAGAGGAAGCTCCATCAGGGCTGCCTGGCAGTGCCCACTGTGGCTGAGATAGACTTTTGTCCTTATTTGTATTTATAATAACCACAACAAAACAATTATTTACTCAGTGACTACTATATGCCAAGTACTGTACCAGGTATATACCCATGACATCTTGTTAGTTATCAAAACAACATGCTGAATTAGTCTTATCAGTCCCCAAAACTGAGTCACAGAGAGGGTAGGTAATCTGAAATCACATAGCCCAGAAGGGGCAGAGCTGGAATTTGAGCCTGGTTGTTGGGTCCAAAGCCTCTGCTCTTTTCACCACACTCAACATGCAAGTGCAGTTTCTTTTGTCATTAGCCCAGTGCTTTTCTCTCAGAGAGACACAGAGGATGCTGATTTTGCCTTTATCAGCAGCCAGCCCTGGACCCAGAGCTGGAAATCAGTCTGAGGATACAGAGGACTGATGCTGAAGAGGGAAAAGCACCTCTTTGATTGCTGAGTGCACAGGTCACTTGGAAGAGTGGACGCCTCATCAGAAACCCTCAGGTCTGAGAGGACATCTGTTTCCAGAAGCACAGTGGACGTAAACAGAGCAGGAGCCAGCCTCTCTGCTGGTTGGGGTTTTGTGTTTGCTGTTTTATATTTCTAACATTATGCACCACTAAAGCCACCCCTATTTGGCATCAAAAGCATTAATAAATCCTGCATTAGTCTGTCCCTCTAGTGGGGAATCAATACATAACAATCTATTTAGCCCCTACTGTGTGTCCAGCATTTCAACCCCATGGTGCTGATTAAAGCAGGAAGTAAGAAGTCACAGCTGCTGAATTTTCACCATGGCCACTGCGCTCTGTGATGTACCACAAAGACACCTGCTAATCATTCACTCAGCCTTTTGCTGAGGACCTCCTGCATACTCAGCTCTGTGCTGGGTGCTCTCAGGAATAACAGGGAAGATATAAGGTGGTTTTACGCTCTGCTCACTTTTGCCCTGCCTATTTTCCAAAAGATGTTGAGGCAACTGAAAACAATACTTGGTTCTTGTTCTTAACTGAGGTGAAGGTAACAGTGGTTGTTGTCAAGAAACACAACTTAGTGCTCAGTTGTGGGGAGAGGATGCCAAGTGTTGTGGGGCCCAGGGGATGATCTGCAAGAGCTGGGCTGGTCAGGAGGAGCAGGTCTCAGGCTGGATCTGAGGTTTCCATGGAGGCAGGGGAGCCCAGACCTGTGAGAGGTGAAAGCTGGGGCCAGAAGGGCAGAGAAGGTAGGATTGTCCTTCTGATAACTGGGGGAGTCATCATGGTATGACAATTTCTGCAACACAACTTGTTGTTAACAGTCACTTTCCTGTGGGTGAAAATGAAAGTGTATTTCCCTTCTCTGCCCAAATCAATGAACTATTAGATTCTAAGACTCAGAATAAAACCAGTGGTGGTGTCTTTTTTTGGCATTCTCAATGGCAGGAATTCAGCACCTTTTTTTAGTACCATTTTTTTTTTTTTTTTGCAGGTGGCAGGAGTGCTAATTAGACAGAGCCACTAACGATTTTCCTGGGTGGTTCTGACTCCCAGACAGACTGACAGGAAACAGTGCTTGGGCGTTTTAAGAGAGCAGATTCTATTCTTCCTATTGATAACACGATTCTTCAAACACAGCGATCGAAGGAATGGATTTCACAGTCACTCGATTTATTGGATGTTGAGTTGTTCACTTTGTTTTTTCAATATTTAAGAAGGGCCAGTGTTTCTCCATGAGAGCATGCAAAATGAAGATCCAGTGATGGGTATGATGGGTTGTAAGGAACATTTTGTTTGAATGTTAGAGGGTCCTGTCACTCACTGAAGCAGGTTTACTAAAAGGAAAATTTAGGACCCTTTTGAGAGAAGATTGAAAGCTTCAAGTGTTTTGCCTACACATATTTTTGAGCTGTTGTTAAGAGTAAAGAGGTAAAGGACCTGCCCATCCCCAGTTTGACTCTGGAATCTATGGGTGCCACTGTCTTTCATGTTCCTTGAAGTCTTTGTAGAACTTAAGGCCAGGACCATGTCCTTAGTGTGGTCATTTTGATACCCTGAATTGGTCCAAAGGCAGACAGTGATCAACTAGAGCAAATGACTGCCCTACTTTGAATGTCTCCAGGACAGAGACTCTCATGCTGCCTCATGCTGCCTATTCTCTGCTG